CCCAAGACCAAAACCCATCACCTTCAATTTGGGCCCTTGAAAAATGTTGAGAAAAAGTGTTAAGGACGTGTTTGTTTGGGAAACTCTTAGGAAATGCAGCTATAATAACCAGGAGCCAACACAGTACAGTCATAAATACGCTCAACTGACCTCAACTTTTTTCAATAGTTTGACTAGTGCAATTGTGGCAGAAATCCAGACTCTTTCTTGTCCTCAAGATGGAGAAATGGGAGTTGGTGATAGGACATTTAAGGGATCTGTAGCTGCCTAAGCCCTAAGAATGCTGATCTGGGGCAAAGTTGTCTAGAGATAAGCTCCAGGCAATGGACCAGAGGACAGACTGGATGACCTAACGAGACCTACAGGTTTCCATGACTGAAAGGAAGAGCAGTGATCTCGGCCAAAGTCAAAATCAGGAAATGAAAGAAAGATTTGAGGGAATTACCTTGAGTTTCAGGAAGGCCTGCATCCCACACCTTTACCCAGACGTCCAAAAAGCAGGCACGTCTTGGGTAAAGCGATTTCCTGGCCAACAGCCTTGCAGCTCTGGTGGGCCAAGCACATGCAGCTACCTAGAATCTACTGTTTTCCTTGCAGCCACACTAAAGCAACCCTTGTGCAAAGGTCTTTGTTAGCGTCTCAGACCTTCCTAGACATCTGTTCCCTGCTGCATTCCCCTCATCTCCCCTTTGGCACACTCATCGTACCCCCATCCTGGCCCACCAGGCCCAGCTGCCAGGCTCCCACCGGAGATGTCCTTGCCACTAGCCACCCTGGTGCTCCTCATCCCTCAGGAATCGACCTCATGTCCTCCATGAAGCCCCCCGTCTCTATCTTCTGAGCCCTCGATGCGGTGTCATGCCCTGGCACAATCACATAAACCTTTAGATATGCGAAGCGTGTTTAGCCTGGTTCCTGTCAGCAGTAAGGAAACTCTCATTCAGTTAAGAACTATTTATTGAGCACATGCTATGTTATATGTTGGAGGTTTAACGGTAAGCAAGACAGAGACTGTCCCTCCCTTCAGGAAGCTTAAGGTCTACAGCAGGGTTTCTCAGCCTTAGCACTATTAGCATTTGAGGCTGGATAATTCTTTGTCATGGGGTGGGGGAGGGAGCGTCCTCTGCAACACAGAATATTTACAGCATATTTTGCCTCCACCCACTCGATGCCAGTAGCCACCACCACCAACTGGCCCTCTCACTTTGTGCCAACCAAAAATGTCTCCAGACATCCCCTAGGGTCGAAGTCACCCCAGGTTGAGAATTGTTAACTAATAAAAGAGAATGAGGATACTAATTAAATAATTACAATAGACATGTATCATTATGCCTGCTAAATACTTACCCATTGCCCTTCAGTCAAATCCTTCTCACAGTGACCCTATATACCTTGTCAACTCCTCTAGCCCTAGGAGGAAGGAGCTGTTTTACAGATAGGAACCAGGTTTAGAGGCACCCTGGGAATTGCCCCAGCTCACACTTAACCAAAGAGGTGGTAACAAGGTCCCAGCTAAGTCTTTTGGCAATGTGTGGAGAGGTCTGGAACAAAGAGGAGGGCTATTGACATATGTGGGCATCAGGGTTTCTCCCCAAGAACTCAGACATTGATGAAAGAGGATTCCCTACAGAGGCAAGAATGTGCGATCAGCACCTAATGGAGCAGAGGAGACATGCAAAGTTACCTCCAAGAGCCAGAACACGGCCTCACCCAGCAAGATGTGAGGACACATCAATCAAGGAAGACCTGGGCCTGAAGGAAAAGGAGGGAAAATGAGCCAAAAACTGGCTCTGCTGCTCTGAGCGTCCAGGCATCCTGGCTGAGTAGACATGAACATGGGGTCTTCCTTGGTGCAGCTTTCCAAGAGTGGACAAGAAAAACTGAAATTCAGAGAGGGGAAGTGCTACGCATTGGAGAAATGACTTCCCTTCTCTGAATCAATGAATCAGCAGTGGAGCCAGGATTTGAACCCAGTTTGAGCTGACTTCTTAGACTGCATGTATATGCCTTTTGCACCAGCCCACACTGCTCCTGGATAAGAATTCAGACACATTTCCCAAATTACCTCCCCCTTTCTCATTCCCCTCTCCCAACATCACCCTCCCGCTCCCTCACCCAGTCCTGCTTTGGGCACCACTGAGCCTGCTGCCCAGTGGGCCAGCTTCCAGGGATCCCTGGCCCAGTGATGCAACAGCCCAAGCAAGCCTTGCAGTTGAAATGTACAGTAGACCAGCCCATCTGCTTCCTCCAAACATTGCCTGCTGCCTCTGTCAAGAACCAGAGCAAATGTGCAATGACACTCAAGCAACAGTCATTTTATTTCTGGGCTCAGGACTTCCAACTGGCCTGGATTGCTTAATGCCTCGTTTCAGACACAAGGAGCAGGGAGGAGGTCAAAAGAAAGGCTTTTGCCTATGCTGCAGGAAGGGAAATGCTGCGTGGAAAGATAACATCTGGGGCTGCTCAATGCACTGTGATTTCTCCCCCCGAAAAGCTGTTCAAGAAAACAGCCACAGTCCCTCCCTCTTGTGTTTCTCTGAGGGATTTTTATTTTCACGTTTGCTTATTCTTTCTAACCCCTGCTGGCCCTTATAATTTAAAAAAGGTGAAGGAAAAAAAAAAGTGAACGAAGGGGTGACTACTATAGACCATGCTCTTGATGTATGTGTCTAAACCTTGTAAAGCCAGGAACCAGAAGTCTCAGTCTCTGAAGAATGTCCCTCTTGATAAACCAGTAAACAAATGCAATTTCAGATTTGCTTCACTTGTATGTGTTGAGAAACATGGGGTAGATCCACACAGATAACACATTCTAACGTTTGTAAAAATTCTGTAGTCTGCACCGCCATCGTACAAGCCCTAAACCTCAGCTGTAGGACTTTCTTTCCTTGTCCTGCCTCCCTCCCTTTCTTTATTGTATAGTTTAACTATATGATTGAAAGGGAAGACAGGACAAAAGTTGAGCTCACAATTGCTTTGTCTTTGGGAGACTGGAAGGAGGGGAGAGGTCTGTGAAGACTTCACAGTAATAACTTCTGCTGCAAGACTTCTGCTAGCTCATTTTTAACCTCACAGAAACCCTATGGTATCACTCTTAATTTTTCCGTTTTTTACAGGGAGAAGGGGAAGTGAAGGAAACTAACATTTACTGAGCACCTACTATGTGCCAGGTGGCTTTGAATACATTGTTTCTTACAGCCCGTCTTCCTTGCGTAGGGCCCAACGTCGTTCATGAAATCTCTATGGAAAGCACTAACTGCTGCTGCATTTACTACCAATTTACCCCAGTCCTGACATAGACACATCCACTCATTGCTCACTCACTCAACAAACATTAACTGATCACCACTGTATGCCATGCACTGTGCCAACGCTGGAATCAGAGTAGTAAACAGGCAGATGGTCCTTGCCCTTCCACAAGTGAAGAGAGACAGCATATGCATTCTGAAGCAGCTGTGACAAATTTCTGAGTAATTCCATTGCAAAACTTTCTATTATGGAGAGTCTGAATCACTCACCGAGTAATTCCTTCTTGTTTCCCATAATTGCTTTCTCGTAGAGAAAAGATATCCCTGTAGGAGATGCCTGCCCAGCCAATCCCTTTCATGAGGATTTTCCCAGAATCCTCAGGACCCAGATTGTGGATGCTTGTCCAGAGATCTTCCTCTTAAGCCATCTGGACATTATGAAGGGAAACAAAAAACTTGCATCCCAGAAGGATTTTGCAAAAGTTAGGCTATAATGAACTACAGAAAAAGATCACCCAGGAAGAGATTGTTGAGACACCTTCATATCTGAAAATGTTAAAATTCAAAGAGCAAAGGCTGCTAATTTTCCAGATTGTTTCAGCTTCCCTTCAGGTCCCAAAAGTTGAACTGTTCAGAGAAGGGCCAACATTTCAAACGTTAGTTCACATCTAGGGCCCTAACAATATTTTCTAGACCCCCAGTTATTACTGGAGCATTGTCCTTGAATTCCCTCCTCTGCAAATGAGGTTGAGTAGGAAGGATTTTTCAACTGTTTGCACAAGGGTGTTGAACTCTGGGGAGGTGCAGACTACATCAAGTTCCCATATTTGGCCCTGAATCCACAGGACAGAAGAGTTTGCTTATAAACAAGATTCCTAGTTGCAGTGTGCAAGAATTAATGTGACTTTCACTGCCAAGTCTTCTAAGAAAGTCAGTTCTTCCCCAGCTGCTGCCCTTTCTTGGGGTGTCAACAAGTCAGCGAGCTCAAATACTGCAGCAAAAACTTGTCACAAAGCCTCTCATAACAACTGCCCTCCCAGTACGCACAGGGCCCATCAGTAAAGCAAGGAACTGTGCCTCACTTTTCTCATCTGTAAGCTGGTGATAAGAATGGTCACTGTCTCACTGGGCTTGTATGAGGATGGAGAGAATGCACGTTGCCTTGCAGAAGGTGTGTATTGGAGAGCACCTCGCCATCTGGCTTGGCTGGCGTCCATGCCTACCTTCAACTGATCGATTTTGTCCTGGGTTGTCCAATGGGTATATTCTACTGGACTATCAGCAAGATCCACGAGGGCCACAATGGGTCACTCGTGTCCCTGCTGTATCCCTAGGGCCTAGGACAATGACCACTCAAGGAATGAAAGGACATCTCCATTGCGTGTGGTCATGCCTGCCTGGCAATCCTCCTACAAATAGCTTCCAGGATAGCATTATCAGGGCCAATTCCTACTTTCTCCATACCCCACAGCATACTCGTCAACCAGCTCAAAGAAATCCAAACAGGCCTTTGGTTTTTAATAACATGGTCTGTCCCCACTACCCTGAACCTTTCTCCAAGAAATTCCGTATGATCCATCCAAGTTCCCATACATTTTTGCTACTGTTCTGGAGATGTAAAAAAAAAAACAAAAAATCCTTAAAACCACAATGTAGGATTGTTTTTTTAATTCCCCTTTTAAAGAATCTTGAATCTGGTAAAAATGATAAAATATTTGACAATGAATTAAAAAAGAAAATGGAGCACACATCAACTTTTAAAAACAGCATTTTATTTTAATAAAGAATAAAAGAGATCAATATACTTTTTAAATGGATACAAAAATAAATATTCATTCAGCATATTAAAGACGTATGTTTTAATATTCATGTGAGCTGGAGACTAAATCCTACTGTTATCTTACAAACACTTCAAAAAAGAAACCTGTCATCCTTAAGAAGGTAATGCTTGCTTTGTTGGCCAATGGTGAAAAGCCATTTTTACTGGTATTTTACTACATTCAAAAATGAACTCATACACATCTAAAGAACCTATAATTTTTGCTTCTTACTACATGCCACCCCTATATCACCTTCATAAAAGAAACAGAAAAGTAAGTGGAAATTCTTTGGATTTTCAGGTTTTGAATCACAGACTCCATTTATGGTTACATGGCCACCAGGTTGGCTGATCTGGGGTAGTCTTGTCCCCAAACTACAACACAGTCTCCCACTTCTCAAAATAAGGGTTGACTGGTAAGGCCCCTTCCTTTTCTTTTGTTGTGAGATTCTGAGTAAGGGATGGTGGTGACCCAGGCTGGGTTATAAAGGAGAAAGAATTAAGAAAATACTCTTCTTCTCTCCACCCAGGTGAGAGTGGAAGGGAAGCAAATACCCTCCTCCTACCCCAAGTTCATCCCCCTCAAACCTGTGGAACTGACCCAGCAAAGTCAACAAACTGCACTGTCAAGAACTGGTGCTCCTGGATGCACTCAACACACACTGTGGGTGCCAAATCTCTGCTCGTCAGGAGTATTACACGGGACATATACACATATAAGAGGCACCACGAGCTAACAAAGTACAACACTTTTTTAGAAAACAATGTCAAGTACTTTTTAATCATGTATATATTGAAAGTTATTCTAAAGTGGTTTTGGAGTGGAAAATCTGATGTGGTACGTGAACTACATTAGCCCACATACTGAACGTCAGTGAGATGATGTGAACTGCCCTGGGCCATTAAGCCAAGCCACTGTTTTAAGTCTTCTGCACCTGGCTGTTAGTATCCTGAATCTGTGTAAAAATCTGACACGTTTTTGGGTGAGAAATGCATTCTATTTGCTAATAAACAGGTCAAGTTCTTCCAGGGCTGAAACTGGGACTTCTCCACTTGAATTCCACTATATCAGTCTTTGTTGAAGTGTGGAATTTCATATAGAATCGGGCCACCATGAACCTCAAGGACTACTGGGGATTGGGGAAATAAAATGTCTTTACTGGAAGGCATTCTTCCTGCCATATTCACTCAGGATCCTCAGGGACAATTCAATGGTGAGAAGCTAACACATCTTGTCCACATTTCCCAATCCACACTAGCCGTGCCCACATACTAAAACACCATCAGCCAATGAATGGGTTGACTGAATTGAAGGCACAATCAACTGCTCGTGACATCTACAATGAGTTTTTAAATTTGGGGTTTATATCCTGCCCACTAAAAGATTCAAAGCAGTTTACAATAGGACAATTAAAAGTTAAAATATCTTTAAAACAGATCAAAATCATTTAGAAAGTAGGTAAGAGAGAGGTATCTGGGGTGATTTAATCACAGAAACGAAAAAATACAGCTCCAAGCTTCCTGGCAGCAAAGTCACAAAGAAGTTTTCATTATCTGAAGGTAAAAACACACCAGGTCAGCTGGAGATGGAAAAGTTTTCTTGGCACCAAATTCTAGGAAGAATATGCGTTCTTCCAACAAGCCAAGAGTTTTACTTTCACTTGTTACGCAGAGACTGGTATCTAAATATTTTAAAATCTTATTAAAATGTTTATAAGTAAAAAACAAACAAAAGAACTTCACATAGAATCAGGCACATGAAATCATAAATCTACAGCTTTAACTAAAGATAAAGACAAAAAATAGCCTTGTATCTCACAAGTTGATCTTATACTCCAAATTTCTACTTGAAGCAGCTATTTGCTAGTAATAGTGAATGTCAAGTCTTTGGAAATGTCATTTATTCCAAAATGTACAAGGAATCATAGTAACTAATAAAATTGGGAAAAAATGCAGAAAAAAGTTTAATCACAGACCATTTGGTGTGAGTTTCCAATGTTTTTATCTGAACAGCAGAGCTGTGATACACCTTCGCTTTAAACCTTAACTCCTCAAAGAATGCCCTTACTAAATTAAGAGCAAAGGAAGGTGCCCCACCCCAGGTCAAAGAGGCATCCGCATCTTTAATAATTACAACAGTAATTGTAATAATGAAACGTGAGACACAGGAGGGGTGGGATGCCAAAGAGAGAGACTTAGACGGTGATCTGTTGGTTTTCTCTGAAAAAGGGTCTCTGGTGCGAGGCACAAATATCTGGAAACATCCGGAAGACCTGGTCCGGCTGCGGCTCCTCGGGAACCTGCATTGCGGAGCCAGTACCACAGCTTTTCCCAGCTTCTTCCACCAGCTGCCGGATGTAGAGCTGCTCGATCTACAGGAACCATGCGCAAGGTCAGATGGAAGTGGGAAGTAAGGTAGGGAGTTCCATTGACCCTCCCCAGATTCTCTGATTACCCTAGTACAAAGCTACCATTCCAGAACCCCCATGTGAGTCCCAAATGAATGATTCCAGAATAGGGTAGATACAAAGAATACACAGGTGGTATTCCTGCAAAGACTCCTATGTATCCTCCCTCCCCCACTACACACACACACACACACACACACAATAGTGTTCCCGCCTGGCTGACCACTACCCAGAATTCCACCATTAGAGTTTGATTTCTGTGACTGTAGTCAAATAAGGACTTGCAAAGCCCTAACCCATCACTTAGAACTTAAGGCAACTGAACAGGTGGAATCTTTCCGGAGAGGAGGTTTTTATTTAAAAAAAAGACACTAAACAAAAAACAAACTCAGGTTTTGAGAGTCCCAGAATGTGAGAATATGGTTCAGAGGTGGCAAGAATCCACTTCCCTCCATTTAAAGGCCTCGCCCAGGCTGCCCCTGCACACATGGGAATACTCCTCCTTCAGCCCAAGTATGAACTTGATCCTAATGTGAAGGCCAGGAAATCTGGACACAGCCTCAAAGCTGCCCATTCTTACCTGCACGAGAATGAGTTTGGAGCGCAAAGGGGCCATATCTGGAAACTCCTCTCCAAAGCACAGCACCACCCTGCTGTCGGGGAGCCGGCTCTGGTTGTTATAGAACTGCTGCAGCTCTGGAAAGACATGCGGAGGGGTGTTTGCAAGCAGGGCAAGATCGCAGGTATAGAGTTCAGAAGGACAGCTGGAGTGCTCTCTCCACTTGAGAGGAGGTTCAGCCAGGGGCAAGGGCATTTAGGTCACAGCAGAACAGGGTCTCAAGCTGCTGGCCCTCGGGCCAAATTCAAGCTAAGGACCTGTTTGGCCATTTCCAGGTTGTTGCTGGTTCTTGTTGGACTTGAGCACCCTTCGGTGGGACACGGCCCTTGGATTCACCACGCCCTACTACCTCACTCTCAGGGCATTTGTATGACCTGCCTGGCCCCTGAAGATACCTGAGTTTGCAACCCCTACATGAGGAAACCCAGGCAGGGCTACAGTCCCCACCTGCTCGCTCTGACATCCTATGCCTATAGATCTCAAAGTGGGATCCACAGACCAGTGGCATTAGCCTCACCTGGGAACTTGTTAGAACTGCAGATTCCCAGGATCCACCTTAGATCTATGGAGTCAGAGACTCTGGGGGTGGGCCGGGCAATCTGTATTGTATCATGCCCTCCAGTGATGCTGCTGCATGCCCTCTGGTGATGCTGTCCTGGCCTCACGACCCCCTTCATCAGGTGAGCTCCTCGGTGCTTTCCCACCTGAGCTCCCACCTCCCCACCCCCCACCCATCCTTCCAGGCCCCTGCCTCCAGGAAGCCTCCAGGAGTGCTCAGGCTGGGAGGCAGGCAGACATGACACTGGCATCTGGCCCTGTAGTTATAGGGAGCGGAGCAGAGAGCTTTGGGAGTACAGAGAGAGGGGCCAGCACACAACACTGGGTGGGGGGAGGGGGAAGTTGATTGATTCCAGACATCTTAACCTTCCAGGATGAGTTCACGGGGGTGGAATCCCAGACACCTCCCCTCACAGAATGAGAAATGCTACACACAGACCAACTGTGTGCAGGTTCCATCAGGAGGACCTAGGTATGTATCATGACATGGATAAAGTTAGCGTGTCTCACAATGAGCCCATAAGCCACAGGGACTTGGCTGAGATGTGGACTCTGATCCTGTAGGTCTGGGTGGGCCAAGTCTGCATGTCTAACCCGCTCCCAGGATTGTGCCTGTCCACCAAGAACACTCAGAGCAGCAAGGTGTTAAGTTCCTTAATCCTCACGACAGCCCCACAAGGAGGGTGCCTATCAGTACCTCCATTTCACATGGGAGGACGTCGAGGCCCAGAGAGGTACCCAGGTGCCCTCACTGGGAAAGTACAGAGCCAGGACTCACACCCAGGTAGGCTGGGCCCAGGGGCCACCCTTCCCACCCCTCCACCCTGCCCACACGTAACCGCCACCCTCCAGGACCCAGGGGAGGGAGGAGGCTGTTCTCTCCAACTCAGGCGATGAGGGTACGGACCTCGGAAGAATTGACTGGTGTCGAAGACCTTGACCACTTCGTCGCGCTCCAGCTTGTTGGGCCTGTCCTTGCAGGCCACGGAGTTGCCGCTGTAGAACACGCGGCCCTGGCACAGGCGCCTGACCAGCACACCCTGCCGGCTGCTGTGCAGCAGGACTCCCCGCTCCAGGTGCCCAAACAGCTTCCGTGTCACCTGCCGCTGCCGCTCACTGGGGATGGCGTCGGCAGGTGGGAAGCGGACAATCTCCAGGCTCTCGTGCCCATACGGCTTGGCACTGGGCAAACCTGGCTGGCCCAGGGAGAGGCGGCAGCCCTCAGGGCTACTGGTCGTGGTCTGGCCCACCAGCTTGCCGCCGTAGTAGAAGCTGATCACCATCTGGGCAAAGGCTGCAGGACAAGAAAGTGATGGGTGAGGGGACTGGGGGATATTGGGGGCTTCTGAGTCATTTTCAGGCAAACACCCAGAACCTTTCTTTCTCCAGGAGTCCCTGAGTGGCACAGTTTATATGCTTGGCTAATAACCAAAAGGTTGGAGGTTGGAGTCCACCCGGAGGCTCCTGGGAAGAATGGCCTGGTGATCTACTTCTGAAAAATCAGCCATTGAAACCCTATGGAGCACAGTTCTACTCTGACACACACTGTCACACACAGTTCTACTTATGGAGTCGCCATGATGGAGTCAACTTGATGGCAGCTGGTTGGTTGTTGGTTGGTTAAGCTAAGGTTGTTGTTGTTAGGTGCCATCGAGTCAGTTCCGACTCATAGTGACCCTACAGGATGGAGTAGAACTGCCCCACAGGGTTTCCAAGGAGCAGCCGGTGGATATCAACTGCCGACCTTTTCATCAGCAGCAGAGCTCTTAACCACTACACCACTAAGGTAGGAATGAAGATAACAGCTAAAGGAGAGGATGTCAGAGGAATCTGCATTTCAATTGCCTTAGACCGAAAGAGCTGCGTGCACTAACAATGAACCTTCTAAGTGTCCAGACCAGTCAGGGTTGCCTCCGGGGCCACCCTGCTCCAGGGCGCCTGCTAGAGTTTCCCCGTCATTCATTACATGACCTGGTCCCTGTGTGGTTAAGAACCAGGATCCCCGACAATATAAGGATTACATTTACACAGAGGTGTCTTTGTGTGCACATGCGTGCATGAACTGAACAGAGGTACCCAAGGCCCACAACTTCTATAAGAATACTATAGGGTGTTCTTTGCATGAGGCGGTGCTGCGAGTCACTTCACCTGCAGTGTGCTGAGGAGAGATCTGGAACAACTCAAGGAAACGTCCTCAGCCTTGTCCTCACCTCTCACTCAGAGCCAGCAGAAAGCACCAGGTCAGCAGACTCCAGGGTAACAGCCCAGCACTAACCAGGTCAGAGGTCTAGTCTCATGACGGAGGAGTTAGCTCTGCACACCCTGCCCTGAGGCACGGGCCTTTGGTGTCAGGGGGGCCTCCGAACAAAGTGGTCTCAAGACCAGGCCCTTAACCTCTAAGCCTCAGTTTCCTCATCTGTAGAACCAGAATTATAAGCCCTAGCTCCTGGGGACACCGTCAAATGGCTGTGCACACAAAGCCCAGTCAGTGGCAGCTTGGCAAGAGCCCAAAAAGTAGTTGTGCTCCTTTCTTTATGCTTTTCACTGCCCGGTGAGGACCCTCCTCCTCCACCAGAAGAATGCCCTTCCTACGATGGCCCCGTTTGGGACACTTCTCCTCTCTGAGCCCCGTTTCCTCCTCTGTACAGGGGGCCGTGAGCCCCAGCCCTGGTGCTGTGGTGCCTCCTGATGAGTCAGGCTGTTCACATCTCAGAGTCCAGCAGATGCTGGGAAAGACACGGAGGGTGCATCAACGAACCCTGCCTGTAAACCCCAGAAGCCTGGCAGCAGCTCGCCCAGAGGCCCTGGCAGTGAGACAACTCTGCTGATGCCCAGGATTGGGACACACAGAGAGACCACTGCTGCCCACAGGGGTCAGAAGCATGAACAGATGGGTGGGAGCATATCCCAGCTCCCAGTGTCCAAGCTGTGTGACCCGGGGTTTCTGGGCCTATGAAATGGGAATGATAGCAGCACCTGCCTCAAGGGATGGGAAGGACTGACTGAGGTCATGAAAAGACTCAGCATTCATCCTGGCATTCAGGTAGCATTCAGTTAAGGTCAGTCACCATCATCCTCATCACTGCTATCATAGTCATCATTGCTATCATCAATCTATTACCATCACCATCATCATAATCATCATCACCACCATCAGCAGCAGCAGCATTATCACCATCATCATCATCAAGTTTATAGGCTGACATCAATGACATTTATTGAGCAATTATGTCCCTACTAGAAATTTTTCATAATTACTACATTTAATCCTCACAACAGTCATGTGAGGTAGATGTTACCGTGTTCCCATTTTACAGATGAGGTGCCTGAGAGGTTCTCGCTCTCCCTTGGATCACACCAGAAGGGCAGAGCTAGGCCATGAGTGTGTCTGTCCCCATGCTCTTCCTTCCTCCTGCACAGTTACGCCTAGAAAGTGCTCACGGCCCAGCTCTGCCCCTCTGGTGTGACCTCAGGCAGGGTAACTAAACCTCTATTTGTTGGTCCAATCAGAGAAGAGGCTCAACAATCCTGGACCACTCGCTGCCAACCCACACAGCAAGGAGGAGTCAGACTCCCAACTTCCAACACCCAACTGAGCTCGTCCAGAGACTTTAGCAACCCCACCTAGACCATTTGGGCCTTACAGGCCTTGGAAGTCTGCCCCATACCCAGCCTGGCCCGAGAGCTTCCGTACCTGAGTGGTGGGCATCATAGGCAGCATACCCTGTCACCAGTGGCAAGGCTGCTGGAGAAAGAGACAAGCAAATTCAGACCGACCCAGCTGCTCTGTCCAGGGACCCACCCAAATACCGCCTTCTCCAGAAGCTTCTTAAAAAGCCACACATGCGTGCTCTGGGAGCCTTGCCACAGACTTCCGCCAAGCCTGTTTCCCTCCCAGTGCGGCACCCATGTTTCATAAACACAGAACCCGGGTCACCACCAGACCAGGACAGAGGAGACTTCCTCTAAGCTGTGGGATTTGTCGCCATGTGTTAGGGTGACACTGTGGGCCATGTTTCCTTCCCACCCAAGTGGCCGCCAACCAGGACTGTCCTTGAGGGGTGTTCAGGCTCCCAGACAGCTTTCCTGAGGGGGGCTCCTGTAGCAGATGGAGAGGGGGTTCTCCCCAGGTCCCTTGCTCAACACCGCCACCCCTGGCCTAGCAGCCTTGGAGGCCTGTGAGCCAGCTGTCACCTCCTGGTCTCCCTACAGGGGCGGGGGGCATGAAGGCAAGGGAGGAAGCGAGGACGCTCATGGGCTGGGGGACCTGGAACCTGGGATGGAGGTCTGGACATAGCCATCAGAGGCTGATAAATGGGTGACATGCCTACTGTGTGCCTAGCCCTGAGATGCTTCATTTAACCTCATGACCCCACAGGGCAGATCTTGGATTGTCTATTTTATAGATGAGTAAACTGGGGCTTGAATAAGTTCCACGACTTCCTGGGACTCAAACCCTATCTCAGGCTGATTCTCCCATTCCTGGCCCGAGCTCTCCTCCCCTAGACACCCTGGGCTGTCTTTGGCTTTGAGCAGTGCCTTAATGTTGGAAACAGACTGGCTGAGCCTAGGTGAGGGATAAGAATGTGGCCCAGAGCCACATCTTCCCATCTTGGAGGAGCTCACTGCACCCCTCCCTCAAACCTTCCCAGGAGTGTGTTGGGGGAGCAGACCCATCCCTCAGCACATGCCCTCCTGGGAGCAGTGGAGTGGGGGTGGGGAGCCCTCGTAGTCCCACTGAACCGCCCATAACCAGGGGCACCGTCTTCACCGCTCTGGGGTCTGTTATCTTCAATACAACAGCCATCCTAATAGCTCCAAATGCCCATCCCAGGGTGTGCAAAGGATGAAACATGACCAAGAGCCACAGAAGCTCACCTGGGCCGGCTTGCTGCGTCCACCAGTCTGGGAGGAGCTGGCTCCTGCAGGCCTCTGGCGGGGAGGGGCTCCTTTTGATCATGCCCATGTAATCGTCCACAGAAGGCTGTGTGATTTAGGAGAGGGAGAAAGGCAGTCAGTCCCGTCACTGAACTTCCATCATGGGACTCCAGTGTTTGTAAAAATGAAAACTTTACCTGTAGCCACATTGTCATCTTTTATCTTATGAGACAAAAGGAAAGCTTTACTTTGCAACTTGAAAGACCTTAGACTCTAAATCCACCAGCTTACAGATCAAACTAAGTGACCAAATTACAGCCTCTCCAGGGCCACTAAGAAATTTATCGGCCTTTACATGGAACTGCCTGCTGCAAAATCAAGTGTGCCAAGTTACCCAGCTGCAGACAGGAACGGGGTCTGGGACCCCAACGAATGGTGACACTGAGCAAAATCCTCCATGTGCTCACAGATCTTGCTAAGTGAGCCTCGAGCAGATTCTCAATCTCTGACCCACACCTTAAAGGAGGTTGATAAATCCAATTATGAAACGTTTTGAAATCTGATCTTCTCGTAACCCTAGTGTGGCAACCCAATTATCTCCTCTCTCAGTTGAGTCGGCAGAAAAGCCTTGCACAGAAAACAGCACATTGTTGGAGAGACTCGAAGCTAGGAATTCCCTTGGCCTGCTGCCAAAGACCACCCAGAAACACACCAGCTGTCATCTGCAGAGAGGCTGGCCCACTTAAAGCAGGCTACATTTGTTACTGCCCTTCTCTGACAGCTAAACTGCTCCTTAGGATGTTGCAATACTGCTATTAAGAATAAATATAGCACCCACACCATCTTTTGCAAGGGTTGTGTGGGATTATTTTAATTATGCAATGCCCACCTTATAATACCCATGCAAAACATAGTTAAAGAGGCTAGAGGTAGAGGAAAAAGCATCTAAATAGTTAAAGTCAGTATTCAAAAGCCCATGCATTTTGTCTATGAGATCCCACCAAGCCTTTACTTGTAGCCTATTAACTATGAGTTTATGTACAATTCTAACAAGCTTGATTATCTGGTTTTCCAACCCACCAAAGACTAAAACCTGCATATTAGAAGATAGGTAACCCAATAGTCATGAAAGCTAGTGTGATAATCCTTTCATAATGACAACCCTAAGCAGCAAGGAAAATTTAAATTTTGTTTGCTGTAGCCTGCCTAAGGCAATAAGGGAACACATGGTGCATTTTTTTAAAATTTCCATTCTAAATGTTTAAAATATGACAAGTTTAGAGCTTCAGGAAATTTCCCTTATGTAGAGCAGGCAGCTCATCCCCAGCCCTCGGGATAAAGGCAGGGATATCGCGTGATAGTCTATGGGTGGAACATCCTATAAATGTTCTTGGATACTAACTGAAGGTTGGAGGTTCGAGTCCATCCAGAGGTGTTTGCAAAAAAGACCTGGCAACCTATTTCTGAAAGGTCAGAGCCATGAAAACCCTATGGAGCACTGTTCTACTCTGACACACATGGGGTCACCATGAGTCAGAATCGACTCAACAGCAACTGGTGATCACATGATAAGGGTAGCCCAGTTGGCAGTGGCTGGTCAAGGGGTCAGCCTAGTTCTTGCATTTATTTCATCAAAGCAGTACTAGTTGCCGTGGAGTCGACCCCAACTCATGGTGACCCCATGTGTGTCAGAGTAGAGCCGTGCTCCACAGGGTTTTCAGTGGCTGGTTTTTTGGAAGTAGATCATCAGGCCTTTCTTCCAGGGCCCCTCTGAGTGGACTCAAACCTCCAAACTTTCAGTTAGCAGCCAAGCATGTTAACTGCTTGCGCCACCCAGGGACTCCCATCAAAGTGGTAGAGGTGCGCTTTTGGGGAGAGTGTGGCAGGGCAGGGACGATGGTGCTCTTCACTGGAAACCATACAGCCTCTGCTATCAGAGCAAGACCTTGCAGAGTCCCCTCTCTGCTTACCTCCTTAATCAGGTCGTCGATTTCTGAGCGCCCACATTCCATCTCAGTGACTTCATTTATGCAGCCAGGGGCCGCCATGCCTAATTTGCCTAAGGAAAACCAGACAGAGAAACACCATGACAAATGGCACTGAGGCATCACAACCGTCGTCGAGGCCATAATCAATGCTAGTTTTTCATACTGTGCTTAAGGGAAACAAAAGTTCTCGAGCCATCCTCCTTGGTCTGGGAACGACATAGAAATGTTTTCCCACACGGCAGTCATCTGATCAGAAAAGTCAAAAGAGAGAAGTTGGTTGTTGTTTTTTTCCCTAAGACTTTTAAAGGATAAAGCAAGCATTTTGGTCTCTTCCTTCGTTTGCTAAGATCTAAAATATATCTATACCAAATATACTTTGTAGCAGGTGTTTACTGCCCTACAAAGGTTAAATTCACAAGCTGGGGCATCCGAAGACACTCAAAGGTTTCCTGGCAAAATGTGTTTGCAGGTTGGGGTCTTTTTTTAAATCTAGTGGGCAGGAAATCTCTTTTCAGCCTTTCCAAATATACACGTGTGTATCTGTATGTAAATGCACGCACAGTCCACAGGGAGGACGTAAAGACTCGCTTATGCTCAACTCAAACCAGCTATGGTCAGGAACCACCTGAAGAGTCAGGGAAACACACTCAAACATCTCTACCCAGTGGGGACCTGGACTGGCTCCTGTCTTCCCCTCCCATGCCTCTTCCCTAGCCAGAAACTCACCTTATTGAGTTTATCAGCATGAGAGGCATCCCCACCAACAAATACTTGTTGGAATGAATTAGTCCCAATGATCTACAGAATTGACCCATGTTGGTTGTTACCGTTAGTTGCCATGAAGTTCATTCCAACTCATGGCCACCCCATGTGTACAGAATAGAATTGCCCCATAGGGTTTTCAAGGCTGTGACCATTCAGAAGCAGATCACCAGGCCTATCTTCCAAGATGCCTCTAGGGGGGTTCAAACCGCCAACCTTTCAGCTAGTAGCTGCACACTTAACTGTTTGCACCAACCAGGGCCTCCTTACCCATGTTTAATCCTGACTGAATTGGGATTTGATTTTGATAGGTTCGTTAATTCTCTTAGATGCTGCAGATGGGGGAGGCAGGGGGCAGCGGGGCACCCCCTGTAGCTTGCAAACCACCGAAGTACAGAGGAAAATGGCCCATTTAGACATTATGCAAATGCAGCATTTCTTGGCCCTGAGAACCTGGCTGGTTCTTCTTTAACATCCACTCTTGCAGGTGATGCGAGCTGCACCCCACACTACAAATAAGCTAGGGTCCCCTGCCAGTTCAAGCTTGGCTGACCCTGGAGGGCAGGGCACCTAGAGCTGTGTTTGTCCCCTCAAAGACATCACCAGTGAACACAGACCTCACAGGTGGGCATGGCTGTGGGTGGGGTAAGATCAAATTTCCCTCCCCTTCAAACCACAGTTTATTTTGTGATGGCAAAACATTATCCCAAATGTGGAGATGAGGCAGAAAGATGATTGCTCAGCCTTTCAAAACCACCTCAGAGGGGCACTGAGCTTCTGTTAAGGGTGATGGGAAAATTTGGAAATGGATAGTGGTGATGGTTAACAATATAATAAAAGTAATGTCACTAAATTTTACGTGTGAAGAACGTTGAAATGCAAATGTTTTGTTACATATATATTTATCACAGTAAAAAAGATTATTAAAAAAGAAAAACAAAAAAACCTTCCCCCTAGGGTTCACCCGGTTCTCCAAGGGAAGGACAGTTTCTGGAACACACTATTGACTATCAACTAGGGTTCAGACGCACTAAAGTTAGATGTTAATTTGCAGACCATTAAGCTACAAATAGCCAGTAGAAAAAAGAACCCCCCCCCCCACAAACACACACCATGGTTGCACTGCCCAATAGGACATCCGCTGGTTTGGTATTTAAGTCAGCAGCTCTTTGCCTTTCAATGACCACATGCACCAGTGTCTCATGTTCTCCGTCCACCATGCTTTGTCACCATGCTGGTCCCCTCATTAATGAGTTAACTAACTGACCCAGGCTCATGAGCCATGGTTTTTATTTTAATTACACTTGGACACTTTAACACCCTAAACTCAGAACTGTCTGCACAGTCCTAAATAGTTTGGGGGCGGCTCTACTTCTTATAGTAGAAGTCCTGGTGGTGCATTGGTTAAAGTGCTCAGCTGCGAACTGAAAGTTCTGCGGTTTGAACCCAACAGCAGCTCTGGAGGAGAAAAGACCTGGTGATCTGCTCCTGTAAAGACTACAGCCTCAAAAAGCCTATGGGGCAGTTCTACTCTGTCTTATAGTGTTGCTGTGAGTTGGAATCAACTCGACGGTACACAACAACTTCTTTTCAGCATTACTGGACTACTAATAAACTTTTAGGGTACCTGGGTGGTACAAACATGTTCAGCTACTAACTGAAAGCTTGTAGGTTCAAGTCCACCTAAAGGTGTCACAGAAGAAAGGCCTGGTGACCTACTTCTGAAAAATTAGCCACTGAAAACCCTATGGAGCACAGTTCTACTTTGATACACCTGGGGTCACAATTATTCAGAGCTGACTCCATAGCAATTTGTTTTAATAAACTTCTAAGAAGAAAAATCACATCATGCCAGTATTCCAATTGCTACATCAAATGACTAAGAAAATCAATATGTTAAAAGAATGGTTTGAGTTAAAAGAATGGTAAATAGATTTTATCTCATGGGCCAACTCTGATGCAGGGCAGCTGCAATGAACATTATTTTGAAAAGGATTCTGAGGCCAGATCCAAGTTCGAGAAATCTTGATTGATTACTGATGTCTGGCCAGGGCATGGGAATCAAGAGTATGGGTAGGTATGGCAGGTTTTTGCTATCCCTGCTTTAATCCCTTCACAAGTGCTGTCTTTGGACTTTATAGTTGAAAGAGACCTCAGGGATGATTGCAGTCCAAAGCTGCTGAACAGTGACCAGGATCTAACAATATGTTGAGGCTATCTAGTCTCCCCGGGTGGTGCAAATGGTTAACACTCTCCGTTGCTAATGGAAAGGGTGGAGGTTTGAGTCCACTCACAGATGCCTCAGAGGAAAGGTCTGATGATCTACTTCTGAAAAATCAGTATTGAAAACCCTATGGAACCCAGTTCTACTTTGACACTCATGGGGTTGCCATGAGTCAGAGTTGACTTGACAGCAACTGGTTTTTTGGTCTTATCCAGTCTCCACCAATGAAGCCAGCAGTGCCATCTTCTGCAACTTCATTTGAGAACTTTACCCTCAACTCTTATCCTCCATCCCCTCCCATCCACCATATTACCCCATAGTGAGTTGCTAGGAAACAAAAGGTGTTCCTGACTGCAGACTTTTGGAGGATCCTTGTTCCTTCCAATCATGTCACTCAGCTCCAGGAGGTCCTACAGTGTGTCCAGGGTCACACAATGAGTTAGCAGTAAAGCTGGGCTGGGGCCCCGTCTCTAGTCCCTGCCCTTTCCTCCAACCCCTATCTCCTCTCATGCAATTAGATGCTGCCACTGGGACAGCAGATGGTGTGAGAGGTCAGAGGAAAGAGCTCTCAAATCTGCTTATGCAAAGGAAAGAACGACTTTGTTTAACTGAAACCACTTGCTCGGACCCTGTGTGCGGAGACCTCCACCCCGGACCCCTGCTTTGGCAGGCTTGGTGCCGATGGAGGATAGTTACATTTCTGCTCCTCCTCAGGGACGATCCGGTAAACTTTGTATGGCTCAGAAATGTCCAGCTGGGACCGCTCTGTTACTTCCTCAAAATCTGGGCTCTTGTTCAATGCGCAGCGTAACCTCGTCTTCCAAGTAGCTGGTTCAGCTTTGTCCCCTTCCTTAAACTTCCCTTTAAAAACTGCCCAGGCCTGAAGAGAGAAAAAGGAGCACATTAAATATATGGCCGCCCCCACCACCACACGTATTCACTGCAGCCATCAAACCCAACGCTTTCTTACCCTTCTGCAGGTATTTCTTGGCCATTTTATAACTCTCGGTCAAGGAATTTGAGGACTCAAAGAAACATCAATCAAACCACTTTCTTTAACTGATGTGAAAAGGCTCTGGCAGAGGAAAGGACTCCCCTTTGTCACAGAGCTGGTGGCTGGCTGAGCTGGAATTGCTTTCCAAACCCAGGCTCCTCCCACACACCTTGGATGCCTTTCAACAAAGCTCACCCTGGACTAAAGGGCCCGGAGAAGCCTGGGGTTACGTAGTGCAAAGAGGAAGTTGCACATGTTTTCACTAGAATTTTTCAAAACAAAGAACAATTTGCTACTTTTTCAAATCAACCCCTAGCTAACATTTAGCATGAAAAGGAAACACCATGCAAAAAGTCTGAATGTGGTCATCCATTGCCTGGCTACTTTTAATAGAAATTTGTTTTGCATTTTTGCATTTATTCTAGCTTCTCCTCCCCACTCCCCACCACCCCCCCAACCGCCAGGGCACTGTTTAAAACGCAACGAAATGTTTTCCTTCTGTTGGTTTTTTTAAAGCTGTTTTCCCGACCTCTCCAAACCTTGGCAGCTGAACTGGGGCATTATTTTCAAAAAAGTGTGCGTGTGCGTGTGTGTGTGTGTGTGTGTGTGTGTGTGAGAGAGAGAGAGAGAGAGAGGGAGAGAGAGAGAAAGAGAGCATACTTTAAGATTTCAACATTAAAATACACGTCGATGAGGAGGTAGCTGCTATCAAGCTCAATGGCTTCAGGCGAAGCATCGTGTCTGTCAGCCACCACCAGAACATTTGGGGATATTTTGACTTTGAACCTGAGAAGACCTCCTTTACACAGAACTGTTTCACGTTTCATCCTGACACTTGAGAACTATGTAGACACATGTGCGGTGACTAAAATAATTCCAGAATTGGAGGGAATTCTTAACCCCACTCAGGAAATGCACTTCCGAGTGGTTAGGAACTTTCCCAAGGTGGCCCAATCTGGGATTGAACCAAGGTACAGTTTTGACTTTCCTCTACAGCAAAGGTTCTCAAGTCTTAGAACAATCCCCTGGGAAGCTCGTGAAAATGCAGATTCCTCGGCCCTGGCCTTCAAGATTCTAATTCTGTAGATGTGGGTGAGGCCTAGGAATCTGCATTTTAGCCAGTCTCCCAGTGTGATCTAGGAGGCCAGGAGGCTACACTTCCAGAAACTCCACAACACCCTCAGGAGTCACAGTTCTGTTTAAAATATCACTGGATTTCCCCCCAAATCAGACTAGGGCGGTCACAGTTCAAGGTCATTGTCATGCACTGGTCGCTGCTCTGTGCTCAGACTCTACATCTGTGCCTGAGTTAAAGAAACTGGCAGAACATTCCCATCACTGGGCATGAGTGGAGGCTTCCTTTTCTGACACAGATGCAAAGTTCCCCTTTAGAAATATTTTCAAAATTAAATGGTCTGCAATTCTTCTGTCCTTTACTAACTGCATCGCTGATCATGCATTGACTTGTTTTTCTCAAAAAGTATAAGAGCAAAACCACGTTTTAACTGAACAGAAATTTCAAATTTTCATTACTTTAAATCAGGATTTCTCAGCCTTGGCACTATTGACATTTGGGCCGGATCATTCTTAGTGGTGGGAGCTGTCCTGTGCAATGTCGGGTATTTAGCAACATCCCTGGCCTCTATCTGCTAGTTATGACAACCAAAGATGTCTCCATACATCGCCAGCCTCCATGACAAGGCCGGCCTCCCTGACTCACACCCAGGAATGGAAACTGAGAGCTTGAGGGAAACCTGCGCCATGTGCCACCATCGCTGCCCTCCCCACCCCTGCCCCCATTGGAGGACCGCTGGTTTAATCCATATTAGAAATGAACCTCAAAAAGCATGGATTTGGTGGCAGTGTCATTCAGAAAAAAAAAAAACCCATTGCCATCAAGTTGATTCCGACTCACAGTGACCTTACGGGACAGAGCAGAACTGCCCCACCGGGTTTCCAAAGTTATAAATCTTTACAGAAGCAGACTGCCACATCTTTCTCCCACGGAACAGCTGCTGGGTTTGAACTGCTGATCTTTTTTGTTAGAAGCCAAGTGTTTAACCATTGTGCCACCAGTGCTCTTTGGCAGTGTCATTACCAGCTTATAATTACCCAGTCCAAGGCACTGCCAGGCCCATTCACTCATTTACTGCCCCTGTTCACCCTGAGAAAGGCCAGGAAATGCCCTAAATCAAGAATAGGGGCCACGTGGTCGGGTAGTGATGCCCATTGAAAGTGCAGCTAGTTGGCTCTGCTTTAAAGAGCCAATCTAGCTGCAGATCTCTCAAGACCCTTTTAGAGCCAAGACTAGACAAAAAACAGTGATCCCAAGGCACACCATAAACAGCCACCACAGCTCACTGAACCTCCACTGGGATCTATTCCATCAGTGCCCTGCTCTGCACCAGTCAGCTTCCAGCACTGAACCCAGGCCCGTAAACTCATCCTAATTTAACATTAGTACCTCATCTTTTGTTTTAAAAATTAAATGTCATTTTCTTTTCCTTGAAGGCCTGCTGAATTGGAAATACCTGTGCTACTAAATTTTAGCTCATTTAGGCCCAGTTACTAAGGCTGGTCAATGAGAGGCCAGCAAATCACAGCCCTCACTTACCCAGGTTAGTTTGTTTCTTTTCCCTCACTTTAATGAAAAGGAGGCAAAGTACTTTTTAAAAAGTGAACTTGAGCTGATACCAGGGCTTATCAGTTTACACAGGACTGGTACAAAATGAGCTAAATGACTTTTTCACTCTCCCATTGTTGGGTCTACACCATGAGGCTGACCTCATCATGATTCCTGTGAGCACTGAAGGATTCCCTGGTGTAGCTGGATTCTTATGATCCACTTGCAAGGAAGCAAGCTGATGCATTTTCTCCTAACTCAAATTTTTGAAAGGTTTTCTTTGAATGTTTGGAACAAAAAAGGTTCTCAACTTAACCAAAACATCCCTAAGATGACTCTGTAACCACAGTCAGACTGTTGACTTCTTCCAACACCAACATCACCACCACCAGCACCAACACCAACACCAACACTACCAATACCACCACCAGCACCATGTTTGGGCCTCTGAGAAGCTGGAAACCACCACGCAGCTCCACATGGCACAACTCCAGGCACCACTAGGTAGGTTCCTGTCAGCGCTGTATTTTTACCAGCCCAACTTGTTGCCTTCTTGATGGCCTCCCAACTCTAGGTGGGCACCCACCATCTCCCTCCCACCCCATTCCTGCTGAGATTGTAGACTCATTTCAGATTGCCACACTGAGTGACTGCGTAATCAACGGAAACATTGGGAATCTTGCACATTTTTCTCAACACTGTTGAAACTGCCATGAAGAACATTGCATAAGACGTATAAATCTGGGGCTTTATTTCATTACTCCCAAAGCATACGTTGAAGCAGGGAAGAGGGTAGAGGGAGAACCCTTGCAGTTATGCTGGCAAGCCACACACCCAGCTTGTGCAGCCTGTTGGTCCAGCCCCCGCTACTATTCTCTCAAAGATGCTTTACTGATGTTTAACCGCAAATGTGCCCTCAGCATCCAACACCTCTGGGGAAATCTGTTCATCCTGGCCATGGTCAGCTTAGAGCATAGGTTCCCAATGGGAAGGGCAATGTCTGGAGACAATTCTAGTTTTCACAACTAGAGGGGGTGCTACTGAATCTATAGAGTAGAGATCAGGGATGATGCCCAACACCTTACAATGCACAGGACAGCCCCTATTACAAAGAATGATCTGGCCCCAAATGTCAGCTATCATCTAGAACTGGATAGAAATTGTGGCACTGATTAAATTTAGCCTGAGTCACTCCCAAGAGAAGTTCACCCTGATGCCAAAGGCAAAATGATGCCTACAACCAAATGAGAGAGAGGTATGTGCATCATCACTAAGGAGGAGGAAGCAGGTGCCGGCACTACAAGAAGCCTGGCTGAGCCCCAGGCTCTTGACCAGGGGTCCTTGACAGGAAGGAATCTGGAGGACCTGCGGCGACACAAGAACTCCTTGGAGTTGTGTGTAGAGCTTTCACGTGTGCCCATTTTTCTCGGAAAGGGCCAATAACTGGCATTAGATTCTCAAAGAGATCTGCAACCTACAAGATTACAGATTTAACAGAACTGCTAACATGTGCTTCTTAAGCAGCTTTGACCTATTCACAGTCCACTTTCCCCATCTGGGGTAAGGGTGTGGTTTCTGTCATTTTTATTGTTTTGGGCCAGAAGATGGTCATCCTTGGCTTAGAGTCCAGTGCTGTTAACTGATCCTGCAGGTATTTGGCCCCACCACTCACCACCACCACTGCCTGTGGTCTGACCTTGGCCCCCAAACACCCACAGAACAAGCACACAGAGTGGTGGTTTGTAGCTTGGCTATGGGTCAGACCACCTGTGGAAGTTTGGGCTCAAATTTGACCTATGGGCTCTAAATCTCCCAGGGTTAGGGCCTGGACATCTGGAGCCTTAGAAAGTCCACAGGTGACCCTGATGACTCACAGGTGACTGATGACCACAGGTGACCCTGATGACCAGGCCACAGAGCTGGGCTGCCCTGGTTCCTGGTTTTGCTGCCTGAATCTAGGTGTAATGATGAGAAATCCTGCCTCTGTGCATCAGTAAGTCTAGGGGTTATGAGCAAGGCTCACAGTTGGGCACCCTGGGTTCAGATGCTGTCCCCAACATATGTGAGCCATGCAACATTGGCCAAGTCACCTCTCCTCTTGTGCCTCTGTAAAATGAAGATAATTTCAACACCGAGGGGAGACCTGGTGGCACAGTGGTTAAGTGCTCAGCTGCTAACTGAAAGGTCAGCAGTTCGAACCCAGCAGTTTCTCCCCAGGAGAAAGATGTGGTAGTCTGCTTCCGTAAAGATTTATGATCTTGGAAACCCTACTCTGTCCTACAGGGTCGCTACGAATTGGAATCGACTTGACAGCAGTGGGTGGGAATAGCAGCACCTACCATATAAGACTGTGGTGGCAGTAAAACAAAATGGTATGTGTGGGATGAGGCCTGGCACGGAATGAACTCTCACTCAGCGCTGGCTGTCCTGTTGCAAATGGCAGCACCAAACGGCAAGTCTCTCCATGCTTGGCACACATACATTCTCCAGGGACATGAGACTATTTGCAGACATCTGCTGCAAGCTTAGGACAAGCCACACAACCCAGCCCCAGAGAGATGACAGAAAGCATCTCACTTGCCCAAGTGGCCCCAGTGCCACTCCATCAGTAACTTCCAAAAGAGTGAAGACTTAGACTTCTGTGATATACTGTGTCAACCCTAACAGTGACACGGGGCTAAAGCTTTTAGTAACAGCTCCAAAGAAGTATTTTCTCTCCATTTGCTCGGCAATGATAGAGCAGGTGGGGAAAGTGCCTTCAGTTTGCTCATCATAAAATCCCAGCAATGCAACTGACCTCAAAAATGGTTCAATACAGTACACAATACTGGGGAAGTCAGCACAACTTGTACAAGGAAAGGTTATGGGAACTCCACAGACACATCCAAACTCCCTAAGGAACTGAATTGCTGGGCGTAGGACTGTGAGGACCATAGTCTCGAGGAACATCTAGCTCAATTGGCATAACACAGTTTATAAAGAAAATGTTCTACATGCTACCTTAGTGAGTAGCATCTGGGGTCTTAAAAGCCTGTGAGCAGCCATCTAAGATATTCCACTGGTCTCACCCCTTTGGCAGCAAGGGAGAATGAAAAAAACAAGATACAAGGGAAAGATTAGTCCAAAGGTCTAATGGACCACAACTACCACAGACTCCACCAGACTGAGTCCAGTACAAGTAGATGGTGCCCGGCTACCACCACTGACTGCTCTAACCGGGATCACAACAGAGGGTCCTGGACAGAGCTCGAGAAAAATGTAGAACAAAATTCTAACTCACAAAAAAAGACCAGTCTTACTGGCCTGACACAGACTGGAGAAACCCCGAGAGTATGGCCCCTGGACACCCTTTTAGCTCAGTAATGAAGTCACCCCCAAGGTTCACCCTTCAGCCAAAGATTAG